GGCAGGAGACTGGCACCAGCGTGCAAATGCAGCAGTCAGGAGGTAGATAGGCATGCTTTCCTCTTAGAATTACAGTCATGCTGCACAGGTCAGAGGGGTCTTGTTTTTTCCTCTATACGCGCTAGTATTTCTTTTCCAGTAAACGGCCTAGAGGATGGAAAGTTATTGAGGGTTCTGAAGCTATCTGTAATTTTAGAGCATTTTAAGAAACCACATCACATTGCTTTGACCTAGTACTTACAGAGACAGCCCTTCAGCCGTCAAGTGCTGTTTGCAACTACACAGTCCATTTTTTCAAGATGCAATCTACAATACTTGTCAACAAGGCTACAGTGATATATCTTGGCAGCCAAGAACAATGGGCTTGAGCCACATCTTTAAAACAGCATATTTTCTACTAACACAATAGGAGTGACATCAGACCTATGTGCACGCACATCAAGAATTGTCACACAGCTATCTCAACAGGGGAGACTGTGCTGCTTCTATCTAGCGATGAGATACCCGAATTTTTTTCAACAGTTTATTCACTGAGAAACAATGGTAGTGTTTGGCTATGCTGAAGCTATTGGCCAAGTCAATTTAAATTCACCAAATACTGTGTGCGCACGGCGGGGGTGCTTTATTACTCCCAGCCTATGAACCTTTTCTCTTTTAGGTCTAAAAACTGTCCTGCAGGTTTAATCTTAGGCTTATTGCAATATTCTGTTGCTTATTGCAATATTCTGTTAAGTGTTTAGAATAATATGAAGTAGAAGAGGAGATACAGTCTAACAAACTACACAAACATGCCTGGGAGATTACTGAAGGCCCAGGAGTTTCACATACGCTCCTGTTTTCCGAAAAACAGCAGTTTCAGATCAGATTATTAATTTAAGATGTACAGTATATAGCACAAAAATTATTGCATTCAGGCAACTCCATATGCACATTCATTGCATCCTACTTTCAGGAGAGACTGAATCAAGGTGGAAAACAACTCGTGGAAGAGGATAGGCTTTTAGCTAGACAAGAGAAGCAAATAAAATTAGGTACAAGTGTTCAGTATAACAGTTACCAATAGCATTTCCCAGCCAATCACATTATTTCAGAGGTCAGATATACAGATTTTTGGACAGAGTCCTGACGTGAACTTTATCTGTCAACATACCACGCTGACAGCAAGTCCAAGTAGATTCCTCACCCTCCCTCCTGGAATTCAGTGTGCTCCAAGCGGAGATTGTGGGTTTGGCTCATCACTAGCTCCTCTTGACATCTGTGAGGCCATCATATGTCGAATGCTTTGTTACGAAGCAAAACTCTATGGCCCAAGTTTATGTTGTGCTGAGAGACTTTAAGTAAGAAAACTAGAGGTCAACAATGAAATATTCTGAGCAGCCAGCCAATAACCACAACATTCATGGCAAGTGAAGGAGGAGTGCTATGAGAGTTTACAGGGAGCAGCTATTAAGCTATGCTGTGCAGAGAGGAAACTTACTGTACTGCAGTGGGTCTGGTAATTTGGGATCTCTTTCTGCACGATTAGATGATATTGCATAAGCTTACATGTTTCAACTGCTCAGCTTAGATTAAGGAGACCACAACTTAAACTCCCCCCCCCCCCCCCCGAAGAGGGTTAAGTGAATTGCAAGATTTCAGTTGATACTCGTTAGACTCCTGTTGCTACCTACTGTGACTTTACACAAAGCTTGTTCACCAGATTCCTCTCACTTTAATATTGTTCACAACTGGAGAGGAACGGACCTTTGCTTGGACAATCTGACAGCTTTCTCTTCAGCCAAGCATGACTTGTCAACAGGAGGGGGGAGGGGAGAGGAAAAAAAGCTTTAATGAGTACCTTGCATGTCCCTACACCCTGCATCTAAGTACAGTCATAACCTTAAAATCCATAAAATCCTCAAACCTAAAATTCAGGGCATACAACCTACATTGACAATATGGAATATGTGTAAAGGATACAATTTTTTTTTTTTTTTTTTAACACCAAGTCTCAGGTATTACTAATAAACTAAACTGATGCCTGTTACACCTACCTTGTAAAAAACTGTTCTGCAAGTCTTCTCCTAGGTGGGCAGGATGTGCATTGCTTCTAACCAAGAGAATTCTGCCTGAGAGTTGTCTTAAGTATTACCTCATTCAGTTCTTATATGACTTGACAGTGGAAGGGAATAAAGTAAATAAATATCCATCATATTATGACTGCAATTGGACATTTCAATAGTTTTCTCCACTTATTCAAGCCAGTTCCATATGTCAGGATACGTCCAGTAGTCCAAGCTAAGCTTCAAGCTATAACTTACCTTTGCAAAGGCATTACCATTATTCCCTCTTTTGTAGTGTTGACTTCAAATCATTAATATTCCCATGAAATCATGCCCACACTAGAAGTGCCCAGCAAGAGATTTTCTGAAGTCAACCCACACTGCACACAGTAGTACTAGACTTATGTAGATATGCTAACAGCATGTTTCTCGATTTCTAGAACATTCATCCCTTTCTTCTCCATAACTTTGCTCAGTTGCTTGCAGCAATTAAATGCCAGTCACAGCATTATTCCTGAATTGTAATTCAGAAATTGGATTTCCTTTCTATTGTGGACATTGGCCACAGGCCAACATATGTAGGACATTACATGCATGCCAGCAAAGAAAAAGCAAGGCAAAGAATCTGGATCCTTGTGTCCAAAGGGCATGATTATTCCCCTCCTATCCGAAGGAGGAGGGGACAAAACCCCACTTCAGTCTACCTAAGTATATTAGACTTGCTTGCAATCTTCCTACTGATTTTCAAGTTCAATACATGTTTAGCTCTTTGCCAGATCCGGTGATCTGGCAGTTAAAGAGTTAGTATTCATCAGCAAAGACGCTGACTTTAGAGTAAATTGTACTCACTGTGGAGAAGGTCCTCCTTTCTGGAGGAGTGGATTTTTGTAAGCTCTTGCGTCAGATCTAGAGAGTACCTCACAATATAACAATTAACAACTCTGAGAAAAGAGTACATTATAGTTTCGACACACAAATTAAGAAGCTTTCCACTCCAGCAGAAAGTGCAAGAGTCTGGTATCATGTGCTAAAGCCTTAAGTAAAGCATTGTCCAAAACCGTAACATATTTCTAAAAGTAGTAAAGGTCAAAGTAAATAAGGGCCAAAGGGTATTTATGTCAAAAGGCATAAAGGGCAAAGTAAAGGCCCACTGTTCCTTAAAATGAGGCCATAATATAGCCACTAAGGACACAGAGAATCACTTTTTGTAAAGAACATTTATTTTTGTTTCAAAATTTGTGATCCATACAAATACAATAAAATCAACATGTACACAAAACTTAAACTTTGGTTCAAAGAAATATTTAACATCTAAAACTTCTGAGGTACAAAGGCACAAGACCAGGCACCCAAACATACTGAATCACCCACAGCACTGTTTGCACCACTACTACCGGAAGTTGTGAGGATGGAAGAAGGGTAAAATGAAAAAAATGGCCAAGGGGTGAACAGGGATAGAGAATTAACAGCAACCAAAACACAAGTATGTGTACAATACCATTTGCTTTCACTCACAGGTGTTATATTTCGTTGTCCTTTTTGGATAAAGTGCTAGGACTCTGAGAACTCTTTGATGGATCATTTCTTAGAAATGAACTGGAAGAACAAACAGTAGAAAAGGAGACAGAAGGAAAAAAAACAAAAAGTCTGCAGCAGACTGGATTTCAATCAACCTCTGTTCTCCCACAAGGTCTCAAGAATTCGTTTCCTCTTTCGTGAAACCATTTGTTTGAAACTGTGGAATAAGGACATTAAATTAGTTATCATTGCATACCCAGTCTGCATATTCTGCTGCAACCCAGACTGAGGGATAAGATTTTACTTTGAATAACCTAAGGGCCAGCAGTAATCACAACAGTGCATTTTGGTCTGTCATCATTATAGATCAGTGCACTCTGGAACTTCAGTGGAACGCCATAAAAGGTTGGGGGTGGTGAGCATGGGAGTGGATGATATGGAGCTTGAGACATAAGCTACTTTCAGCAGTCAGAATTTCCCATTGTCCAAAGCCAGCTGGACAAAGTGGGAAACATCATCCCTTGTTAACAGACTATGGGCATCCAGGGCAAGCAACAAGACAGTTTTGTCTCCTGTTTGCTGTACAATACCAGATGGTTTGCTTCCACGAAGCATAGTAACGCTCATCTGGTCAGACAACATGATCAGGAAAGAGATATTTCCAGGGCAAACTAAAGGGCAAAGCGGTAAATGGAGTAAGTTGAAAACACACCAATAGCATTACCTCATTTTAATATATATTCTATATATCACAAAAAAAACACCCACACAACTCTGCTTTTTATTTTTATCTTCTGTTCTTTAACTTCACTATGCTCTACAGTATCAGCGTTTAACCAAAAATTGTTGTTCTATTTACAGCAACAGGCACACCTCGCTATCATGTTTGAAGGGGTTCCTTCTGCACTTGATCTTTAATTGTCCTCTCTGCTAGTATTCAGTCCCCAGTCCTATAAAACTCTTACACATGCCCTTAAACTGAGAGGAGCACGCATCGTTTCTTACAAGGACTTCTCCCCCTTCTACAGTTAAGGCCATGTAGCAGTTTCCATGGGAACAGACTTGATTCTAATCAAGTGATATTTCAAGTCATTCAGATGTAGGTATACTACACAAAACCAGTGACATTCTTGCATGCTTTGCATTGTCACCAACAAAGAAGAAAATTCTCTAGGAAACATCACAGCTGAACAGTGTAGCAGCTGAACGTTACACGATACTGATGGTGCGATTTTTTCATTATGGCCAGAAGACTCTGGTAGTTTAAATGGCAACATCCAGGTTTATTAAGTACTGTTGCAAGGATTCAATGTATCAGCACCTTTGCATACGTGCAAACCTCAGGTCTTTTTCCTAAAGAAGCACTACTTACCCCATTTACACCCTACTAGGACTGGACAAGCTGCATGCCTCGTTCTATAGTCACCCTCACCACTTCTGAAAAGATTGTACCAAAACACTGCTGTACCCTGAAAAGCAAAGTCAGATCTGGATTAGCCAAAACTTAGTCAACATAGCCATTCAGATTATAGTTAGAGGGGTCATAAATCCCTACGCACTCAGTAACATGCGCTCAATTGAACTCAGGTCACCTCCTCACAGCACATGGAAAACTTAGTCCAACTTCATTAATTCAGCCATGTTCAGAGTGAAGAGTAGTCTTACCGGAACACAAATCTTTCATTTAACAATAACTCTCTCTATAGAGAAATTGTTCAAATTATACACCACAAAACAAGGTAAACTGCCTTGCCGTCTAGAAAATCAGATACAGTTGCCTTGATGCACGGCAACCTGTTGGTCAAGTTGCCCTGGGGGTGCAGGGAGGGGGAAGACATGCTTTTAAGAAGTTGGCTAATGTGGCAACTGTATGTAACACGGTACTGAGGTTACTTTTAGATGAGACAGTTACAGGAGAGATGAGGGGAAAGCAAGTGGAACAAGCACAGAAGTTTTACCTTCTTGGGCCATATTGCTGCCCCAAAGTCTGGGAAAACTGTAGCACCTCCAGCTTCTACATCGCTCATCTGAGAAAACAAGGTCAGCACACGCCATATATTTACGGTGCTTTTTATGCACATAGTTTCACAAGCCATAGGGCCCCAAGCCCTAACAGAGCGGGATTTCTACCTGCACCTTTGAGAGGCACTGATGAGAAGAGGATGCGTGCGTTACTAGCAACATGAACTGCAAAGGCAAAACAGTAGCCACTTTTGAAGGCTTTTATTTCAACTGAAGACTTCTGTTCAGTGCTTCCTCTAGATTGTGTACCTTCTATTACAGAAATAACCATAAAAGTTGTGTACCTGCAGTGTTAATGACCTAGCTCCTCTAGAATAAGGGAGAGGACTTCAGAGCAAGTCAGTTTCAAGAACTTCATTCCAATTTCTTTTGGTCCAATTCGGAAAACAAAGAGATATCTTAAACCGCACATTTCCTTGCAAATTAAAACCATGTCTTTGGAACAAACTTCCACGTTTTAGTTTATGCATCTCAGTCAGCCACTTCAGACACTATACAAACGATTAGAAAACCTCACTTTTCTGCACTGTTGCTATGATGTTCAACAGCCTCACGCTACTTTTCAAGGACTCCATACCTCTAAAGGCGTGCCTCTCTGCTTTGCCCCTTTATACTAGAAGGGAATTTCAGCTTATGTAATTCATTATGGATAGATTTGCTATAAGTTCTACAGGCTTGATCCAAAACCCACTGAAGTTCCTGGAAACACGCCCACTGAAATAGAAAGTCTTACCACTGATTTCAAATCAGTTTTTGATCAGGTTCTAATTAAAAAGAAACAAATTAATCGAGATCCTACTCCCACCAAATTTAACAGCAGAACAACCATTAATACATTCCCCAAGTCTTCATATTTTCTACTTTAACTTGGATTTCTCTTTAAAGACGATGTTATCACCACTTTGGTGTCCTCCTGCTTGGTACCTACAATAAAAGGGCATAAGATGCCACGGGCACACAGTTTTTTGCCCCTTCCAACTAGAAAGCACGTGCATGCAACCTTGCAAGTTAATTCCTATGTCGTGGCAAACCACCATACTTTTTTAGTTGTGACGCTGGGACATGTGGCATATGCTCTACATGGGGCATACTAATGGTAAGTTGCCTTCGACCATGTACAACTGGCAGAGAGAGACGTATCGTTCATTCTCAATGAAGGCTTGTCTGAAAGTCTGATATAAGATATGGATTGAGGCAATAAAATGTTACAAAGCTTCTTAGGAGCAGTCTATTTTGCTGCTACTCATCTTATTCTGACTCTTGCTTTAGAGATTTTTTCACTCATGTGCTGAGAACGACTGCGGTTCTGTTTTGAGCTGCGTTTCATTCTAAATACCAGGTCAGCCAAAATATTTCTTCACGGAATTGTAAATTTGAAGTTGTTTCTAGTCAAAAGTTAAGACATACCAGATTAGGTGATCCCAGTAACCGATAAGTATTAGGCTGACAGATAAAGCATTGTCAGAATAAAACTACTGTCAAAATGTTAGGCCGCTCATATCAGTAGCGATTGTGTATATGATTCCAGGGTACATGGTCCGTAGGCTGTATAACGCATGCACTAATGAATATTTTCAGTTCTGCATTTGGAACCCATCCCCCAGTTGTACTGAATTTGTTAGCTTTGTCTCCATTTCCTGAAGTGATAGCTATGCCAGAGTAATTCCAGCTTTTTGCAACCAGTTAAAATGGAGACTGCCAACAGATCATGTCACAACATCAAGTGCTGTCAAACAACAGTGGAAAAACGTGACTGTTCCACAGTAAACAGCCGACAGTCAAAACCGCAAACTTAAGTGTGAGGAGTGCTCCAAGCACTCACCTTGGAGAAATAAGCCAAATTCTCCTCTGCCACCAATGGGAATTCAATGAAGTCAAAGACTTCATAATAGCATGACTAAAAAGGGAAATTGGACCTCATTCAAATTAGGCTTTCTGCACTGAGGTTAAAGAATATCAGATCCCTATCAACTGAAATGGGACAGCACCTGATGCTGCAAGAATAATGAAGTCTCTACTTCAAGATGCCAGGAAGTCTCTACAAAAAAAAATAAATAAATAAAAAAACAAAACTGCACAAGCTGTAAACAAGATGCTACTAAAAGCTGCACTCAATGCATAAAGGATCATACTTACATAGTTTAAAAAAGTGGCCACACGATTTCCAGTCCCTAACCGCTTGAAAGCATCTGGCTCATCTTTCTATAAAATTAAATGAGAATAACTGCAAACTCCAAGCTCACAGACAGCAGACACAGAGGTACTTACATAGTTAAGAAACGTCGCTAGCCTATTTCCTTCCGATTTGAGTGTGCTGTCAAAGGGTCGCTGTAACAGACAACAACTTTAACCCAAGTTCCAAACAGGCTCACAGTAGCATTGCATTTGTGTAGCTCTGCAGAAAAAGCCTTAAGCTGGATTTAAAGAGTTGAATCTTAACAAGTGGACTACTCACACAGGGCAGCATTAAAGCCATTACATATTGCAGCCAAAACAAAATGCGTAAACGCATGCACACTGCGCTCATATGCTATAAGGAAAAATAGCCCTGAAGCAACTCTTAGAGCACCAGAGTAGAAGCAATGCTTTTTAGGGCTGCAGCATAGCTGATACACAAGAAGCCTTACAAAGTCATTAACAGGCTTATTGCACTGAACACTGATGCAAAGACAACTGAAGGCAATATGAAAATTCCTATCAGCTTCAGCGGGCTTTAGATAAACCAAGATTCTCATAAATGTCCATATAATCCTGATGCTCATAAGAAATACTCTGCCATGAGAAAAGTGCATTTTTGGCCAACAGTGATGGAATTAGAATAGCAACAATGAACTTCTTGGGTGGCTGCCTGTCTGGGATTAAGGATCACATCAGAAAGATCAACTTGTCTTTAATCTGTTGAAAATTTGTTGAGATGCAAGAGCCAGTTTGGGGGGCTGGTGGGGAGCAAGCATCCAGAATTCCAGTACATCCCTGTTCCCTTCAAAAGATGCAAGGGTTTGTTTATATTACTAATATTAAGTAACTTCAACGAGTTTTTTTTTTGTTTGTTTGTTTTTTTTTTTTAGTAGCACCCCTTAATGTCTTCTGGCTGAAGATTAGCAGTCAGTATCAGGAAAAATTAAAAAAGCAAGACAAACACAGCAGCCACCACCTCTAAAATGTTGGGAGTTGAATATGCCTGAAGAATAAATTTCAGTAAATAAAAGGTCTTCTCTGAAATGGATTTGTATTTGTACACACAAATTCAATCTAAAAGGTCCACCATAAGAGCAATAAAATGTAGGAGATTCCCTGGCCTCTATAACCACTGCAAAAGTCAGGTTCAGCCCTACCTCTCTAGACTTCAATTCCAAAAGACTTTTCTGTAATTCTGAGCAACACTGTAACATACAGTTATTAAAGTGTCCATTGAGAACTACAAGAGGATAAAAAGCTGCAAGGCTGATCAAGAGACAGCAAAACATAGCATTGTCTCTGGATTTCAGTGCTGAAATCTGCAACACACAGAGCCTGGAGGACCAGTGCAAACCCACAGCAACTCCTATGATTGCCTTGCCTTAACTGATGACTGTAGCCAAGATTATGTTCCAAGTGGAGCTCTGCCCCAGCTGCCTAATCCAAAAGTAAAGACCATACTGGCCAACTTGATGGCCAAGCTCCTTGCGTTCAAAGGCTCCGAAGAAAATTTAAGAGTATTTGCTTGACTCAGGAAACTAGGCAGTCTTAAAGTTAAGAAACTGCTTTCAACAGGCCAAAGTTAATGATTATGAGGTTCCACAGTGTTGAAGTTCAGGGTGGGTTGGTTCCCCCCCACCACCACTTCTTTTAAACGCAGTGTTAAGTATGGTGGCTCCAATTCTGACATGTGCTTATAGTTACTGGGTTGCTCTCTGGGTGCAGGAATCTATTCTGCTGGAGATGCTAGAAGAATCTGAATTAAGATAAATTATATTAAAACGCTATGGTTCTCCTTGAAACCAAGTCATCACAAAGAGATTCCATATTTTAAATTTCTAGTTGCCGTAGCTCTTCAGTATAAGTACGTTGTGAACACAGTAATTAAGACAACAAACGAACTCCTCCCCGTACTCTCCCCCTCTGTTGCAGCTAACCAGAGGTGCGACGAGGTAGAGCCCCCTAGTGTAGATCCAACACAGTTCTCATGCTCTCATTGTAGCACTGTCTTCCTGAACACCGAGCTGAGAAAGCTCTCTTCAGCCCATACAGCTGCAGCCATTCTAAGGCCTTTGAGTCATAGTGCCATGCTGGCAAAAGTTGGGGGAGGTGAGGGGGGAAGACTCCAACTCAGCTAGCTCCTGCTAAATGCTCCAAAGTCTCCAGCAAAGCATCAAGTAGCCAAATGAATAAAGGAGGATTCAGACAACCTTGCTGAACTCAGGAGCTTAATGGAATATAACTCAGTACACTTGCAACCCACAGGGCTCCCAGGCCTCAGTTTCCTAATAAAGTAAATGAAAAGAGCATATTCAATTGCTGCACTTCGTGTTTATACTGTGCAAGGAACCAAGGTGACAGGTAAACGGGCAGTCTGATTTATTCATTATTCTTGAACTTAAAGCATCAGAGAAGGCATTATGAAGGCTTTCTAAAGGTCACCATCTACCTCATACAACTGGGCTCTAGATTAGAGTTTTAATGGAAAACACATTTTAATAGAAGGGTTTCCAGAGTTTTCTCCCAAAGCAATCTGCTTAACCCCCTAAGGAGTAATTGAAAGTATGATCTTACCCTAGAAAAATCGAAGTGTGGCTCATACTGCCCTCCCATTCCATAATTAGCAACCTACAGTGTGGAAGACGGAAGCATAAGCAAACACTGAACTGCAAATGAGACCGTTGCAAAAGACAGCATTTTCTCTCAAAGACCCAAACATTCTTTGGCCAAAACAGCATTCGGATTTTCAAGCACAGCAAGATTTTCATCCACAGAACACTTCGCTCCGTTGTTCTTCAAATTACCAGGAAGAAGATACACAGACAAGAAACATCATCTTAAATGATCTATCATAACATGAACGAGCAGAAGCAGTTTTTCACATTCTTGTTCACTCTTCTGGTGAGGTAAAATACAAGTGCATTTCTCTAGTGTGTGCATCCAGTCTAGGAGATTAGCAGCCTAGAACTAGATTCTGTATTGTAACGTGCATGATCTGTTACATACATATGCCTGTCCAGGAACACAAAAGGCACAAGTAGTTTAAAACTGCCTCTTTGCTTGCTTCAGCTATTTGAAGATCACATGCTTCATGATTTAGAACAACTCTGAGGCTGCACTCAACATGTCTCCCAGATCAGCACAGTTTTCGGGCTGTTGTCAGGAGCAGACTTTAGCAGCACTTCAGTCATGCTCTGAAACTGGAATTCAAGGGGCATGGAGAAAGAGGACAAGTAAGTACGCCACAGCCATTCTGACAATGATGTTCCACTTGTACTACTCTCCTCTCTTCCCCCCAACAGAAGGCTATGGATCAGACTTCATATCAGAACATAGCAGGACTATGAAAAAAGCTTGCCTTGAAAGGTTTACGGCCATGAAGAAGGCTCAACTTTGTGCAACAGACTAAAATAAATGGTGAGGACTTCACTCAAAACAAGCCAGAGAGTTTTTATTTTTTTGTAAATCACAGATCCCAGCACAAAGCTCTCCCTTACTGTTTACTTGGCCTCCATCCTTCTCTGCCTGCCACAGAAAGGCAGAACATGTACCTGCCAGGTAATTATGGCTAAATGCAGCCAGGATCATCCCTGCACTCTTCAAGATCCCTGAAGAGGGGATCCCTGCACTTTCCTCACCTACTCCATGGGAACTTACACGTTTAGCCTGCAGACAGAATCCCTAAGAGGGACTGGAGAAGAGCCATGCCTGTAATACTTCCGCACAAATGCTATCCAGACTGATAGCTAACAAGCAGATTTCATCCTGATAAGAAACATCCATACCAACCTGCAATAGTTCAGCTGTTTTCACTGTTAAGCCAGTGATCTGCTGCATTCGGCGATTCACTTTGGCCACAACAGGATCATCATCTTCCTCCAACCATGAGCTAGGACAAAGGAAGGGATAAAAAGGATATAAGCGTGTAATTTTGGAATACCAGCCACAACTACTCATTTCCCAGAAGAGGAGGACTGCCTCTGCCCTCAATCACATAGCTAAAAAGCCACTCACCATGCATTTGTTGCGCAGGCTTTTGCTACTGGCAAAATACTTCAAGCTCTAGGTAGCAGATGAGGGCTGGTAGGCACAAAAACCTTAAGGCTTAACTTTTCTGTATGCTTACCTTTTGGATACCCTGTAGCTAGCCACTGTAAGGACACCGGTTTTAGGATCACGTACTGTGGCTCGAGCCAGCTGTGTCAAAAGAAAATCCCAAGGGGGAAAAAACCCATCAACTACAGGTTAAAATTTAATTTTTTTTTCCTCATCTTAACCAAAATCAGCACCCGAGGCTTATCCAATTTAAACATCGCTGGATGAAAGTCACAGCTCCAATCTAGAGTTGGATTTCATTCTAGAATAGTACATGCAGAAATGCAAATACAATCCATCACCTCTAGCAGATCCTGGAAAAAGAATGCGACTACTGCATGAGCCATGATATTCCTTAAATCCACAAGGGGACACAGCTTGCTGAACAGGTTTTGAAGGTAGTTTCCAGACAGCTGGAGTCAATATTAGTAAAAAGGAACAACAAAAGTTAACAACATATGAATCCTAAATCCTTGGCAGGAAGCAAGGTGCTGGATACTCCATACGTTTAACCAGTCTGCACCTCATGTGGACTAAAGAAATCAACTTCATTCTCGGAGATGAAAAATAACAGGCGATAATTTATGAAAATAGTTAAGAGTTACAGGGCAGGCAAATCTGCATCAACAGAAGGCTCCTCAGCACAAGTCTCAACATCGCTGTGCTCAGATTTTCCAGTTGCAAGATGCCTGGAACATCTAATTCACAGAGGCAGACTGAGATAGTGTTATAACATTATGAAGATACAGTGCAGAAGTACACTATGTGTACCTACCTACTAATCAGTGTTTAAAATGCATCATCACTGTTCAGCCACATCACTATCTGTGGCAGAAGTGTGGAACTTGGTAAGACTGACCAGGTTTGCTGTACTGTCAAAGTGATAGACTAATGCTAGCACAGCAGAATAGGTCACTTGCAACTGAGAACAAGAAGTCAGACAATCCTCTGACTGCCCCAACTCAGACTACCTTTAAGCCTGATTTTGCAAACTACTAACACTCCAAGTCATGCCCTCTTCTTTCCACTTAGTTACAGGTCACAGACAATCTTTTTTCATTTTTGTTTTCTTCAGTTTGCACTCATCATTTCCTTCATGTTTTCTCAAATGAGTCTCCTCTCCAGCCCACTTTACAAATTCATATTAACTTCCTTCTCCCTGTACAAGAGTTCCTGGTACAACTACTCCCATAGCTCTGATTCATCTGGTGCTTTGTTCCAGATTTCTCCTGCATAAATCATAAAGGAGAGGCGAGACTGACAAGAAGTATTTCATTTGTACAATGAACCATAGCTTTTGGGGATAAAGTTTGTCTTGCCAAACTTTTCCATCATGCTGCCATTCTTTGAGCTCGTATATGCTTGCTGGCTTCCTGCACCTAGCAGTTAATCTAAACAAATCAGAACTAAAATAAGTTCACACAAGGGCAGTCAGGCATGTATCTCCTCGGTCTGACAACAGAACGCCTCCATTTCTCCAAGAAATGTAGTATTCTACACTCATTAGCGTAAACAAATGTTTGTATACCGGTTGAGGTGTAGTTTGGATAACACACTGATTAAAGAAAACGTTCCTTGATGGCGTTTCCTCTGTCAGGGGTGGAGAAGCAGCATTATAATAGATGTTTACTAGACTTTGAAGAATCGTTATGAAACACTAGATTGGTCAAAAGCTTCACCCCGTTTTCCTCTTAGTCTTAGTTTATTTCAGTTTAGCATGGAGTCCATTATCTTTTTCTTACAAAGATTCTGTGTTGTTGAAAACCTGTAATAACGAGTTCAGAAATGTTCTCCAAGTGTCTGGAGAATGTACTATATCTTTGTCTGTTCAGCCATGCCCATATCATAAGTAACCTCACTGCTGAAATTCTGGATGTTTCCATACGTTCATGGCAGACTTTTCCTAAGGCTACCCGTACCAATAAAGTTAAGAATTTTCTTGACCCTCCCAGGTGCTAATAGCTGACACAAGTCAGCTTTGATGTATTGTCTGTAAAGTTGGAACTGCTCTTTTGAACTGGAATAAAAGCAACTGCATTTTACAAAACGAGCATGAAACCCAAGCTGAATACAGCTACTCCCAATCACGTACAGATGTTGTTCCTCCACAACACAAAAATATTGGCAAACGTAAACTGCAGATAATGTTCAAGTGTTTAGACCCAAAAGTAGAAATTTCTTGCAGCTATGTTTTAGAACAAATAAAGTCCTCATCTTTCCAAGCCCAAAACTAACACATTACTTTGAGTCCTATCTGAAAGCTTCCATGATTACAGACTAAAATTTCCTGTCTGAAGTTAAGGTATATTTATCAAGGATCATCTCATCACAGAACCTGTATTTTCGGGGGAGGGGGAGAGAGAAAAGGGGGCAGGAGAAGAGAGGTGGGGAAGGCAAGAAACTAAAGACCACAGTCTATTTACCTGCTTTCACTGGAACTTACCCCTATCTTGCACTACACAGGTCATACAAACAAGAACTCCCCTGACATTAATGACATTAAAACCAGTGCTCACAGCAAGCAAGACTTTTTTTTTTTTAACAAATAAAACTTTGAACACAGAGCAAATCAAACAAAATTGTTAAGAGATGTCTTAATCTAGTTTATCAAGTTAAGGTCACTCTAAGTGACAAACCTCATTTGGATATTTCCATTTTATCTGAAGCTCTTGAAGTGCCAGGAATAGTTTTACAGTATGATGCAAAAGGAAAAAAATCTGTTTATGGAAGGCAGAGTCATCACATAGGAGTGTTCTGCCAGCATTCCTCATAGCTGGTACTCAACAGAAGTCCAACTCCATAAACATACCAAATATAATTCATGTTCTTGGGAAGTACGAGTTTCTCAATTCATTTCTAACTAGATCTCCATGCTTACATTAAGAATTACCCCTCTGCATGTATTTGTGGCCTGGACTTGTAGTATCATGGCTTATAGCAGTAGCTAGAAGAAAAGTGCTACAGTGAACCATTCATAACTACATACATGCTCTTAATTTCAATTTCTGTCAAATCTGGCATGAAAAAGTGAGCCAGGCATAATGTTATTATTGGCTTTGAATTGCCATAATTTTTTCTTCTTTGCTAGTAAGGAAAGGCAACACAGTAAGACAGATTTCTGCCACAGGGGCAGGCAAAAAAAGAAAAAAAACCACACACCCTTCCTCCCCCCCAAACAGCTATGGAAAAAAATCTCTAACCTTCCCACTAGCTAGGTGCTTTCTTATTGTATACAGAGCCACTACAATTCACAACATGAGTAAAAGGTATTGCATCAAGACTGAAGTTCTCATTCAAAGCTGTTCCCTTTTGAGCTGGATCTATACTTGGGAGAGAGCTGTGGAACCTGGTTCTCTGCTGCCCAGTGGCCAACTATCTAGGTGGAAAAAAAAACAGATCCAGAGTGCTCTGGGAAAAAGACTGCACTCACCATTCATCTTTGGAAGTATTCTGCCCTTGCCAAATGTCCAAAATTGGGAATTGCTAGAGAGCACAAAAGAACGCTCCACTGTACATTAACTGTACTGCACTAATGCCAATGAACACAGTGTGCTGCTTCAGAACACTGCAGTTCCATTCCCAGATGCAGCCGTGACATCTAAAATGCCTGGCTGTAAGCAGGTCTAGACTACAGTTAAAAAACATAAGTAGTAGATTCCAGATTACTATAAGCAAAAACCACACCAACTCTTCTACAGGAAGTAAGCAAGATGACAAACCCACACACCAGGTGGCATTTCATCCCACTTTTGTTGGGATTTGCAGTCTTTCTGATTTTGTTTTAAAGTTCAGTTTCACATCAAAAGGTAAACTTAAGGTTATTTAAACCATTAGCTGAAAACTTCGCAAGACAAAACGCAATAATACATAAATATCTTCAGGAGCCTGGGCTTTATGGTCCTACATCACCAGGGAGTTTCAAAATCGTTCCCTTAGGCTCACCGCTGCAGTGCATCATCTGTAGTATGAAACCAGATCTTTCTCAAATCCTCTGCCTAGTCTTTGCTAATAGAGATTAGAGCACCGAGTTAGCAACTAATATTGAGGTGGAAGAGTAGAAACTTACCCTTGGCTTTGCTAGCTGTTTGATTTTCTCAATTTCTTCATCAGACATAACATCATAGTACCGTACTATATGAGGGCTGTCCCATTCATCTTCCTCCTTGAAGGGGGCTATTAGCAGATGAGGGCTTCCGTTTCCATCATGGTACCTACAAAACAGCCTTTTCTGTCTTCGAGGCGTCTGAAATGGAAAATGCCAAGCAAGACGCATGGTTTGCTCAACCACTTTTCATGAACTTAAACAGGCAAAACATGCCTTACACCACAATACACACACACACACAGGAAAAAACAGTGTCTGTTGACTAGAAAATTTAAGAATTAAGCACAAGATTACTCACAGTAAATAGCAGGATTAAACAGCATATATTACTCTAAAGATATCACTGAGCAAGGCCTGGACCACTAACCTCTACGAGAGTGGACTCTAACAGATTACAGGTTAGAGAAACTCAACAATATGTAAGCAGCCAGCTGTAAAAGTTCTGGATCTTTTGTTTAAGACTGTGTAGACGGGACAAACAGATTCCCCTCCATACACACAGGATTGAAGTCATAATTGAAGGGAGGTACTAGAGACTGTTTGATGAAAACGGCCACTCAGAGGCATGCCTTTAGAACATGCAAACGGGAAAGGACTAACGTTTTGTCACTGTTACAGAAGCAAAAAGTTAATTCTCAGTGCAAAAAGCCTGCAGCATATTGATACAGCAGCACTTAAAATAGCTGAATAGACAGAGTCAGGAGAATCGATTTTCAGTAGCCTTTAAGAGGAGCAGTTGAAAGCTGTTTTTCTGTTTAGGATTAACAGCTAAAGATACAGAGGCCAAGACATAAGCAGGTGCATATAGCAGCATGGATAGAACTACACTTAGTTTTTCAAAAAAAACCAAAACAAACAAACAAAAAACCACACACACAACAAAAACCAAAAACCACACACAGCTCCACAGAAGGAAAAAACTTAACATGCTTTAGCAAGCTTGATCAGCCTTATACAGAAGCAACAGTCAGGGAAGTCTTCCTTTCTCTTACCATTTTCACCCCTTCACCTCTGCAGAGGGCCTCATAGATATCACGCTCTGGTAGGTAGTCAAGAGGCCTCTCATAGGCCCCACCTTGCACTACAGCTTCTGTTGTAGTCATTGTCTTATTTAATGACTTATCTTCTCTCTCCTTCTCCAGCAATTTCTCAAAGTAACGGAGATTACTGCCTGCTCTCTCGTGAGTACTGTCTTGGTTAGGAGAAAAAAAAAAAGAAACAAGACAGAACCAGTGACTTAACCATTTCCTGAGACTGCATAATTACAAGTCTTTGTATCAAGACACTACAATAATTCTCCCCTTCATAAAGCATCACGATGCAGCCAAAGATATCAGCTCCAGTCTGCAGTGAAAGCCAGCACCGGGCAAGTTTCTCCCTTTCTTTGCAAGGGGAAGCTAGGTATAGCCCTGCAAGAGAAGTTTCTGGAAGGACCTATGACCAAACTTGAATTTCAGGTAGGGAAGGGAAGGGGAAAGGGAATCTTTGGATCTTCACATCTTTTTTTCTCCAAACCTTGTCTGTCCAATTCTACCTAGGATAAGCAGACCTTAGAGCTTGTATACAGAGATCCATCGAGTTGCTGCACCTCCCTGCCCCCTATTACACCAATGCTTCTCCATCCATATTGCACAAGCGTGCTTTCTTTAACCAAGGACTGTAGTGGAGGCCCAGCCAAACTTCAATCCCAAAGACTTCCTCCAAAGTTTGACAGCTCAGAGGTAAGTGCTACCACTTAGCAGCCTAGCTCCAACATCCGTTTCTAGATGTTTATGGTAGGTTTTATGAAGGAGGTACTGTGGATCACCATAGCACCATTAGACCTACCATCAGTGATTTATTAGTGGATGTTGGTATGAATCAGTAAATGCCAACAGATTTTTAGCCAGCATAACTAAGGAATAATTCCCTGTTCACTACTAAGTATTTTTAGACATTAGTACCTAGAACAGTCTCCCTCTTCCCTTTTGACACTAACAAACTTTTCTTTTTTTTAATCTTAAGTAATCCAGAAGGCCAAAGAACTAACCACTTGACAGTGCAGACTAGTATGGGCTAGGTAAGGACAGTCAGCCCAGAGCAGAGGAAGCTGCTGCTTCCAGAACGGACAATCCTGTTCCACTGTACGGTGCTGATAAGGATTTGTGTTCCATCACCAGTGCAATGCTCCATTGCAAAATGAGCTAGATTCAATACACGTCCCTACTCCTGTAAGCTTTAATCTACGAATTCCAATTTCTATGGAAGTTAAACTGATATTTATACCTTCTTCAATAAAAAAGGTCTTTACCTACTCTTGGGATGTAGCTAACATCTGGATTAAGAATCACACAAATAAATAATGCAATAGACTGGAACTCTTAAGTGGAGAGGATAAACCTTTCCAAAAACTCAAAATGTAGGAAAGAATTCTATGCGGAAAAAATGCTAACTCCCTTACTCAACAGAAAGCTGAAAACAGACCAGAGAAAGGTAAGCTTAAAAAAATTCACTATAAGTTCTAAGTGCTCAGAAATAAACACTTTACAGTCTCAGGCAAAGTAGCCTCTCAGCATCAAAGAGTACCTGCAGAGAGGGATACAGAGAAGAACCTGACAAGTCAGTAGGACTTGACACAGGAGACAGTACCCCGCTCAAGTCCACGGTAGCCTTGATCTCCACAACCCAGGCTTTAACAATTAACACACACAACAGTTCAGTGCACCATAGCACACAGGTGCTTAGGTCACACACATTTAGTCTTTAGGTAATAACAGCATGGACTTGCTGAAGACACTTCAAGCAAAAGTAGACTCTTTTCCTTGAGACCTATGCTCATTGTAAATCATACAGCAGTCAATGCAACGTATGGACAGAGAGCGTTCTCGGCTCTGTTGCTTTAAGGGAATAGCGTATCTTTGTTCTTACCAAGAGATATCAGACGTCTGGTGAGCTCCGTGGCTCTGTGTAAATCCCCAAACTGGAAGACAGCATAGCTGAGATAATCTAGGATCTCCACTTTGCTGACTGTTGTATCCTCCCCTTCGTCATGCTGTTTTAAGGCTTGTTCCATCCAGAGTACCGTATGATAGTAGTCTCCATCATTGTAAGCAGTCTTGCCCATGCCAAAGCAGTCACCCACTGTCAAAGAGGATCTGTATTTTGTTCCTTATAACAAAAAGGAAATTAAGTGATCCAAATCAATATCCTTGTCTTCAAATATTAGGGCACATTGAGGAATAACTAAATACAGACATTTATCATCCAAAAATGCTATTTTAGGCTCTACACCAAAACGATCATCTTCAAGAATTAAAGGCTATATTCTGCCACAATTTCTATGACATTAATTCTTGTGCAAACTAAGAAATTTAACATGAGTTAGTGTTAAGTTATTCTGCTGCAGACAAAATCAGAACAGACTAACAGCTCACTTTGCCGAACCTAAGAATTAACAGAGTTAGATGATCAGAGAAGCCTGGCAACATGCAGAGCTAGAAATATCTGCTCATTTTTTACTGGAGATTTTAATAGGCAACATGTTTGTGCATAAGCTTCTTACTGATCGTTATTTACCGACTAACTATTCAATTGACTGTTTAACTGTGCACAGATTTGTGGTTGCTCCAGCTAAGCAGATGCACAGGTAAATGAGCTTTAGAATTATTTAAGTTTGCGGTGAACCACCTACAGGTAACAACTAGGACTGTGTGTTGTGAAGTCATCTCCCCACACTATAGAGTTTATTCGTAACACATGGTGGTTGCACGCTGAAAATGGCTTATGATTGCTAACAAATCTCTTATAAGCAGGAGCTATAAGCATTTATTTGGGCTCAGCTGCCAAAACACTGAAAAGCATCACAAAATATCCACGCAGATTCCAAACACCTTTTTGCAGCATATACTGGTAGTCCTCATTTTGCAGATAATGAACAAAAGCAACACAATTCAACACAAGTCCCACTGGAAGACGAGAGGTAACAAACAGAACTATGCTTCCTAAGAGCCAGCACAGCAATGAATTGCGAAGCCTATTTTTTCCCTTGGATTGCAGGTTCTCCGGGACATGAAGTGCCCATGTTACTTGCTTGCACTGTAACCAGTGCAGTGGAGACTACAGCAGCCAACACAAGAAAGTTTGTCTTTGGTATTAGCCATTAGTGAAATTAGCATTTTTTAAAAAAGTAATAATAATAAAAAACATGCTACTTGAACTGGTCACTGCAGATCACGGCTGCCTGGCCTGGGAAACAACATGAGGTTGCTCTCCAATATTGAAGTAGATGCATCCTCGATTGTCTAAATCCCATGGACTTTTAGCTCCATGGCTCTTGGATTCTTCGTCACTACCGAAAGAGGACTTTCAAAGAGAGCAGATCAAAATCTAAGAAGTGCCAGGATGTTGCCACCTCCTTTTCTGAAGGACAGAGGGGACACTTGTGCAATTACCTGGTAAGTGTCCTCGAGAGAGAGTTTCAGGATCCAGTTTGTATGTGTCCTGCAGGCGCATCAGAGCCTTTGCAGCTCCAGTTTCATCTTCCTCAGTTGGAAAAAACTGACGCTGAATTGTGAGATTTGCAATAAAGCCTTTGCATTAAAAGGGAAAGAAGCTGTTACTTCCAGAGTTTGAATGAATTAAGAACACAAACAATACCAGATTAACATAAGAGAGGGAACATCTGCTTTGTTTTCTGAATTCTGTAAGAATTCGAGTCCAGCTTTAAACAGAGCCTCATATTAGGCTCCTGAGTTAAGTAAACATTGCTTTCTGCCCCCGTTAAAAGAATTACGGCTCAGACAAAAGAAAAAGGCAGCAAGACAAGTAACTAAAAAATGTAATTTTCTTGTGCTGCACAATTACTGAAGTATAATGCAAATCTAATGATCTTCAGTTTCCTGTCATCTCTCTCTAGCGTGAACACTTAATAGCTTCCCTCAGTCCTCCTTTTGCAATATCCACAAAGACAATTGCAGGTCATAGCATTCCACAGCGACTTCTACTCTGCACTCCACCAACCTGTTAAGCCATAAAAGAGCTGAGATTTGGAAGTCTCAGCTCAAGGGACGCAGACCCCGAGTGAGGATTCCCTATTTTTTCACCTAGGATGATTACTCCTAAACTGAAAAATCTTGGCTGGAAAAAAAATCTGAGATCATGCAGGGTGTTCTGCATGAACTATTCCTCCTTCCTTTCATAGGTTCCAGTAAAAATAAACATGCATCAAAAATAAGCTTAAGGAAGACAGATTCAGGCATACAGACATTTTGACGATAGGATGCAAGAGGAAGGATTAGTTTTAGGACAGGTTTACAGATACCTGTATAAACAGATATATGACAACAGCTGCTAACTGTTAATGCCGGAGCTGATGGAAATCCCTTTCCCAATACAGTACAGCTGTCTGATCAAAGTGGTCAAAAAAAATGGTGAGGGAAGAAGCAGACTGGGAAGGTAAACGGACAAACGTTATATAAAGGAACACAAAACTCAAGATAAGGCATGAAACAATAGTTGCCAACACAGCTGAACATTTGGGGATATCCTCGTCTCTCCTCCAAGGCAGCACAAACAAAACAAAACGTTATCCATCTTACACACGTTACCACTTCTTGGAGTCTTGACTCAGAAGCATCTGAGTAGCAACTGCTGCTCATCGGTGACCGATAAAGAGGAGGCCAGTCATTAAGTTTCAAACGGACTTGGCAACAGCATTTAAACTACAATGGAGTTTGCAGCTTTCCAGAATACAAGGAGGGGAAGTAACTGTGTTGTAAGACTACCTCCTACCAACATTTTCCTCCCTGAAACTCCTTACCATTTGTTGTGTCCTGAAGAACTAGGTTTTCTAACTCCAACCAATCAGTATTTAAACGCTTCACCAGTTTATATGCATTTACAGGATGTGCCAGATATCCTTCTGGATCGGAGGTTGATTTGCTAGTCAGTACATCCATTTTTTCAGCCCAGCTGGAAAAAGAAGCATATGCCTCAGTCTGAGACCAATTTATGAATGCATGTCTTCCTTATTAAGTCATCCTAATTACACAGCTAGAACCAATTTATTGCTCCTTTTGCTATTATAACCAGCTGCTGAGCTTTCAACTTCACAAGGATAAAGTGAAGTACAATTGATTTTTTTAAATAAATTTATTTCCCTGTCTACTATTTAAATCTTACTATAGCAGAAATACATCCCACTTGCAATGAGTCTTAGCCACTGATTTTCAGCATATTGCTGTTTGCAAAGTAAAAATAGCACACAATAATCACTGCAAGGGTCGTTTATTCATCTCTTGTAGTGACAACATAAACATAGATGTAACCCCAAGAACTTACTCAGAGGCAATAAAACAATAGCAGTGCTGTCCACTGGCTAGAACACACTCATTCAGCTTCAAACTAGTATTAAGAAACTTCATACTCTGCGTTACAGGATATTTGAACTGCCATTTCTGGCACTAATGCTACAGTGAGAATTTTTGCTGTTCCCTTCCATATTATCCCTTATCAGAAACTTCTGGCCAGGCTGGGTGCACCTGCCTCCAATACTCAATAGGAAGTGAACACTCTGCTGAGGTAAGCTAATAACTGAACATAAAAGATTCCCTTTGAACTTGTGATCTCAAACCCAGTAAGTCATGAATGAATGAATTATGGTCACAAGACATTTATGTAAGCACATGTAAACGTTGTCAGACTGCATAGATTCTGTGTACTGGGTTCTGTTTTTGTTGTAACATTACAAGATGACTTTCAGAGAACTCTTGCAGGGATATCGGATTACCGATATATATTATCGCCTACACTCCTGTTTTAAATTTAAGCTTTCCACTGTTTATAATATTTATTTTGTAAAGTAGAAAATAAGGTCCAGTTCTGGTCTTTTTACTTGCTCCAAAATAGTATTTTTAATCATAAGTTTCTGTGAAAATGATTAGAGTAGTGAAGTGTTACCATATTCATATGAGAGTATTTGAGCTCTGGCACTGTGCTAATGTATGAAGGATAAACTTGGTAGCAGAGGTGCTAAATTCTGTAACAGTGGTAGAATATTCTGTTTTCATGCGTTTGCGAATAAGTCAACTGAAAATTTAATACATTCAAAGAGAAGTCTCTTAGGATAGACTGAGTTTATGCAAGTGCTATGGGAGGGGTTACTGTTTTTAAACAGTTTATACACAGATTGAACTGCCTGTCTTTATTTTTCTCAGAGGGGTAACGTTTCAAGAGATGAATATTTGCATATAGAAATAAAGTGACATGGAATTTATATCATTTCAGTACTCCATAACACTGCTTACTCCACACCCTTACCCTCCCCCTGAGGGAGGGGGAGAGAGGTACAAAACTCTTTTGAAGATCTGTTTCTAGAACCCATTTAGACTATTTTAGTACCATGCCCTATTTTACTTGTAACTAGGGAAACATCAACAGGACATAGAAAATCAGTTGTCAAAGAGAACTTTTCAACTTAACTATTAGGATTCCCCCGCCCCTTGCCCCCAAGAAGTACGCTGAAAGAGCCAGGCCGGAGACCAACAAGAACTGGACAGAACAGAACTATCACCTGACAGCAGACAAGAACAATTGACAGAGAAAGGAAGTCAACTATTCAGTGTGCGCTCTGTCAAACAATGCAACTGATATATTTTCTCACTGCTCCAAGGCTTCAGCATTGCTTACAACAACAGGAAGCTCAGAGAACTAGCAACCAAACACATTTAACTTGCATGGACAAGGCCCCTATTTGACATAGGAAATTAGGGTCTTCTACAAAGCAGGTTTGTGATGGGTACGAGGACAGGGAAAGAAGTGAAAAAAGCCCAGCAATTACTAAAGGAGCAGATAGCTTTCAAAAAAAAAAAAGTATTTCTGAAGCAGGGACCCCTCTGCAGTTCTACTAGAGCACATTAAAACCACATTATTATTACGTATGGTCCTACTTTGTGATCATCTGTGAGGAAGTGTTAACCAGATCCAGTGACAGATCACCATCACACCAGGAAAGTATGGAAATCAGCATAATAGATTAGCCATTTTGTTAATCATCTTGGTAAATGCAGTCTTCTCCCCCTACCTTTTAATCTGAGAGAGCTTGGATTCTTCTGCTCTGATATACTCCTTTAAAGACTGCACCAAGTCTTTCTCTGCATAAATCAGGTCTGTCATTTGACCTAAAAATGCGAAAAAAAAATGAAAGGTTAATCAGAGCTAAAACAAAAAACACTTTCCAACAGCACAGAAGACCTACCTCAGATGCTCCAGGCTATTAGAGGCACCACAAAGAACAAACTAAGGTTCAGAGTACGGGTGTTTATTGTTTGCAAGCCACAAAAAGCTATGATTATACATGCAGATCTGGCATTCAAGTGGCTTTTAAGTCTCAACAGCCCATGAAGTAGCTTTGCTATGAGGCTTTTACCCTCTCCAAATTACTTTTAAGATTGCAGTTACATAAAATGCAATCAATGGAAAGGCTTGACATTAATACAGCTAAAGTCAAAGCAATGAAAGAGCCAAATCGTTGCCATAGTATCTGTTCCACTTGTGGATACAGATTAGGTCACACCAATAGTTTATTAGTCTAACCACTGGCTTCACTTAAAAGTTACAGCTTTTCAATACGGGTAACTGTGGAAACACAACCTAACATTAAACATTAGTCTAAAATTCCTCTGTACTTTATAGACTAACATGCAAAATCTCTCCTGATTACCATTAGTGGAAACTGCTAGCATATCAATCCAAATTACTATGAGAAATTTGGCATTTCACAGACCAAACACTGAATGATCCAAATACTTTGGAATGCTGAAAATAAATGTAATTATTAATAAGGCATAATGAAGCAGGTGGAAGTCAACAAGCTGTTCTATTTTCAGTCTATTCCCTAAGGTAAATTTCAGGAATGGATAAAGGTAAACAGAGAAGATGGTGATTCATGTCAACCATGTACAAAAGTCTACCTTTAACTTAGAAGAAAGAGAAGCAAATAACACATGTCTAGGTAAACGCTACTTAGTCAGCTCTGGAGCATGGGTAGTGCATGCTGGGGGTCAGCAGAAAACACCACTCTGCTTTGTCCTGACAGAGGTTCCACAGGGAGGCAGGTACCCTGAGGTACCTTTCCACTGAGACAGGTACAAAATAAACCACCAGAAGTTTGAGTTTTGCTGTTCCAAAAAAATGTAGCTCTGCTAAGCTCAGAGCATATTCTGGAGAACAGGCAGAAGTAGTTAATGAATCTATATGATCTTTATGAGGGGCACTCCTTGCATTGTTCCACAGGAAAGCACTAGATCTGAAGTCACAGCAGAATTCAGTTTTGTCTTTATATTTTCAGAAGCTATGACAATCACATATGATTGCATCACAACAGTTAGAACACAAGAACTAAAATATCAAAATAATTTTCAGGGTTTAAGGTAGTTCTATGTGAATTCTCAGGGATTCATTGAAGTCTTATAAAACACCTGGGGGGAAAGGGGATATTAATTTGCCATTCCCATCCCTAACGCCAGCTTTTATTGAGGATAAGGGATCCTCAATAAATAAATAAAATCCTTTCTTCCAAGAAAGGAAGTACTTCATATTTTTATCATCAAGTTTTCTCCATGAATCAGCAGTTTTGTACTATGCTTTCAGCGTAAGCTTTGCACAAAGCATCTCTGCCGTGCTCAAGACCAAAGTCAGGAGCATCGTTCTTAATAAAAAAGAAAAATCAGGAATTATGCATCTTATTTTACTCAGAGCCCCCAGAGAAATTTGTACCATGTTGGTCATAACCTGCTAAGACACCAAACTGCAAACAAGTTCCACTGATCAAGATCTGCAATACAGAGTAACATTGAGGATGCAGAAGAGTAACTTCTCCTAATGAAGACAGTGTTTGAGAGCACTACATGAATAAAGTCATATGCTTCAACTGTACACTTTAAAATAGAGTTTTGGCAATTGTGTTAGCTACATTATCAGAACATTGTTCATTACCTATAGAGGTGAAAAACTCAGCTTCTGTTTGCCAGATCAAGCAAATACAGGTCAAGAGCACCAACTGCAGCCAGGGCTTCATCTTCCAGATGGCTCTAACCTGGAGTGTTCTAAAAGGAAGAGGAGTGAACAGGATTAATGATTTGTGTGTGGTGAGTGGAGAAACACATACACACACACACCACGGCCTATCATCTTCAATTGAGTTGCTCATGGAAATGAATTAAAAGGGGTCCTTAAGATACTGACCTCTAAACAGTGAAAAATCCAAGTAATCTCTTTCTCAAAATTAGGAGGTCTGTTATTCAGAACTGTCCCACCTGATATCTGGTTCTACAGGTTTCAGTAAAGGGAGCTTAATGAGACCCTAAACACATAATGAGGGTGTTACAGTCAGCAACAGTTAAGATTTCTGTTCATTCACCAAGATAGGATCAAGACTTAGTTTCATGAATACCAGCGCTCAGTTTAGCCCATAAGATGTCTTGGCTTCTTACCCTCTTAACACCTATCTGCAAGCTACAGATGCCAGTCCATGTGATGAGCACACACACTTTAAGGCCCAGAAAACTACACTACAGGTGCCTCAGTACTGTGCAATAGTTAAGATACACATAGCAATAAAAAGTTGTTTCCAATCAGTAAGTTAGGGAGGATTCCCCACTAGTGAGATACAGTGGGAAGGAAGTATTTCAAGAAAGTTGCATTTCACATTAAGTTTTAGTGAGCATTAACAAGTACGTGATCAGGGAAAAGTTCAGCAATGCCTGGAACAAATTCTGGTCCAGGTGTTGTGCTAAGGTCCAGTTATATCAAGATCTCTGAAAACATGAGAACAGAAACAAAGATGACCATTCTTAACAAAATCCAGTCTGCAGACAATTTAATTAGCTCTCTCCACTCAGTGTTTCAATGCAAGCAGCTACAGCTAACTAGAAGTGCTTGGATTTGCTCGCTCAGGACAAACAAGAGAAGCAGCCTGATGCCACTATCATCTGTTACAACAGCACCCAGTGAAAAAAAAAATACACTGGTACGTTTAACACCTGGTGGAAGTTTGTAGCCACAGGCACTTAACTCCTCATTAAGCTCAAGGAAGTGGAAGAGAAAGGAAGAGGTAACTAAGTCTTGTCAACACTGGCAAGCATTCTGGTGCCGTAAGGGCAGACCACCAGGCTGAGGCAGTTTGCATGGAGACACAGAGACACCTATGTCTACATCATCCGTGGCTTGGCAGGGAAGGGGTTGCTCAAGACCTCTTTTGGTCTAGTTCCCTGGACTGAACGCTCCCCATCCATGCACATGGTTTGGAGTTGTATGCAGGCCCAGTCAGAGTTTTCCTTGCATTTAGCAAGCTCTAGGAGCAGAGCCTCTGGGTTAGTTTCCTTGCAAGGGAATGTAGTTTGCACACCCCAAAACCTCAGCCTATATGTAGCAAGCGAAGAGGATTAGAAGGTTCAAATAAAAAGCACGTGCAAGTCCCTACCAGAACATTAACCAAGCATCCATAAAGCACTACTGCAGTTGCAAGATGTTTTAAAACAAAGTAGAAGTAAAGACATAAGGGAAAATGTCAGAGAGTAATTATGCTCAAAGATGTGTTCCTGTAACACTTGAACTAATAAAAAGACTACTCTCACAGCAGGGTTTTTTTTTTTTTTTTTTTTAAAAAGATTGGTCTCTTCAAAATTAATGCTGAAGCAGAACAAACCCAGCATGGCTTCACCTTTTTTGGTTTTATAAGAGACAGCATACGCCTTCTCTAGTAATTTCAAGACATTTCGTTTGATTTAACCCACACAGAAGTACTGAGTCCTCAAAAGCAGACTTCCATTTAGCTTTTCCATGGGTGCAGCCCAATACCTTCCACTTCACGCAATTATAGCTGGAAAATTAAAGAGTACACAAAGCTGTACCATCTTCCAATAATAATAAAAATCCTAAATTACAGTAAGTCAGATTTTGCATGCTAGGAAATAGTTATATAAAAAAGTCTAGGAACATAAACAGTGAAAAAAACAAAGAAGAAATAGCATTTTGCAGAGAAAAATTGACAGCAAGAGTTTTAACAGTGGAAAGTTTCCACCTCTACTTATTCAAAAATGCACTGTCCCAGCATACTGGCCTCTGGGCACAGAGTCTTTATGATTTTCTTATTTCAAAGGTTGTGCCCATTTAGAAACAGATTTTTGAAAGAGACAAAGTAGCCTGTTCCACCTCTGAGAGCCCATGACACAGGGCACGGAAGGGATAGTGAGCCAGAACAGGCAGGTGGAGAAGGCTGTAAATAGTTGACAAGTGGGGCAAGGGAGAGATGGTCCAGGCAGAAGAGCTCTCTGGAAGCTGTAATTCTTCTGGGATATCTGATGGTCAAGACTGCCTCTTCCCCTGAATTCATGAGGGCTCTGCACTGCACTTGGACCGAGAGCTCACTCAGGGGCTGCCTGTTCACTGAGCAGGAGCAGCTACCACAGCCAGCCTTCACATGTGAGCACTGCCACTCAACATCCATGAAACTATCATAGCACCCACACACGGCATCAAAAGCCGAGAAGACAATTGCTCATTTTAATCCACGAAGCAATAATTCCTTTTACTTGTCCATTATAATTCAGCAAATGGTTTGGTGGCTAGAAATAGCCACTTACAACCTGCTTCTACTCAAAATAATTTCATGCTGCTTAATATATTTGAGGCAAAGGGGACTCTCTCAAGTCTAATGAGAAACAGCAGAGAAAGGAAGGGTAAATAACGGATGGAACGTCCTAGAGTTTTAAGCAATGCAACACACGAGAAGGAACCCAAACAAGACAATTGTGACAAGACAAACCGACAGTCTTGGCCTCGTGTTCCCTTGGGCTCCACATGTCTGCCTGCATAATATGAAACAGAAAACGGCAGGTGGATGCTGCCTTTTCCTTCTGGGTTTTTCAAGCATACAGCATGACAGGCACCCTGACTCTCTACTGAGCTCCTAGGTGCCATGAAAATTAACAGCAAAAACACTGTCAATAAGACCATTAAAAAGTTACAAATCACTGTTCTTTGCTATGTATTATCACATTGTGAGATAAATCATTCTTTTTGCTTGTTTTAAAGATCTAAATGAGAAATCAGAAACATTTACTGCGATAGTATGCAAGCACGAATAAGCAAGAAAATGTTTCATAGCATCCTAACGTCTTCCCTTCCCCCCTTCTGCTTCTCTCCCTTCAAACCATGTATTCCCAAACTGCTTGTTTAAGTTAGTTCAAAGCCGTACAAGGGTAACTCGAGAACTGAGTAAAGCCGAATGAACAGTACCATGCAGAGGTCTGCCAACACTAAAAGCCACAATAAGTGATATAACAGAAAGCACAGCAAGTCAAGAGCATTCAAGTAGTACGTAGATTTAAGGATATTAAGTCACCACTGCCCATCTGCATAGTCTGTTCTCATTTCATGAAGCAGTTTTTTGGCTGCACTACATAAAGCTTGGCAAAACAACTACAAGGGAATTTTCCAGTTAACACACCATCAATATACGTCCTCCTCCCTGCACCTCTCCCCATCATATTCTCTCATGACTCAGGATATCTGCCAAGAACATTCACTACAGCTAGCAACTTGTCTTTATAGCAGATCTTTAACAGCTTTGCCATCCTACTCAGATTTACTTGAGTCAATAAACAGAAACTCTCAACAAACAGAAACCAGCTCTTGCTTGAACAAGTAGGACACCTGGCCATAGGGTTTTCGGATTGTTTATACACATTCTTTTCACAGCTGTTGACTCAGAGAAAACCAGCATGAAGAATGATTCACAAGAGGATGAGCATAATGTTATAACCACATTTCTGGAGAGCGTAAGCATGTTTGAGCACACACATGTGCACGCCCACCCCATTACAGATAAACCATCTGCTAACAAAATGGGAGAGGCAAAAAGGACGTTAGCACCTCCTACCTCCATAACCGAGATTTAAAAAATGAATATCAATGTTTTATTCAGCAGAATGAAAGAACTTACTTGTATAGAAATGCCTAAACCCTGCAGAAAAGAAACCTATGTAGGATAAACACTGCCTACCTTCCTGACTTTCTCAGCAGCATCTCTAGAAGACGAACATGTCACGCTGGACAGGTAAAATTAGGATTTCCTTTTATTTAAGTGAGGATAGCTACCTTCCTCTGCAACAGACTTGGAAAAGACTTGCCCACTAAGCTCAGTTTCAGCCCTTGGGCTTGTAAGAAAAATCCCATGCAAGAATTGAGAGCAGGCAGTTCACACACTGCTGTATGCTAAGGCTATATGATGAGCCGTGACAACATGACGAGCCGTGACAACAATCAACATAGCTGGACAGGCCAGGGGAGTACGATTGTTGTCCACCCAAAGATCAGGGCAGCACACTCTTAGCTATCACTGCCCTTACTCACGGTACTATTCTCACTCTAGCAAGTGATTACTCCAGTAACACTGCTTGAGCTAAACTTTGCTGCGTACCATAAGAAACGTCGACTGCTTCGCTCCTTTCCTTCTCCTGAAGGTCCCCAGCTAGCAGGGCTAAAGAGTCAACCAAATGCATACTGTACAAGCATTTCACTGCTTTAAGAGTGAAAGACCTCAACGAAGCGCTGCTCGCACTGGAAAAAGTGATGTCAGACTTCAGAGAGCACCGGCAGAAGGAAAAAGACTCTAAACAAAGTAAACAAGGATGGAATTTTCTTCACCAGTTAAAGACTGAATTCTTTATTTAATAAGCCTTCTTAAAAACTCTTGTTCAGTAGGATTAAAATCATGGATCCGACCCATAAAAGGAAAGTTATTTACGTGCCTACCAGGCCTATCAGTTTCTCATCATCCCATATTTCATATCCAGTCATGGGGGTTCAAACCAGCTTCCGTGAGAGCCAAAAGGAAGACTTCCTTCAGGTCAGACGAGGAGGCATCTCTGTTACTCATCCTCTCCCTTCTGATCAAACAAACAGGCTGCCTCTTTCTCTTTTGTAGATCCCAGAAAAAGAGAGCGCGACTCTTGGAGCCTTCCTCCAGAAAAGGGGCAACAAATCTACCTGTGTACTTGTGCACCATCCCTTGGTGTTACTGGGGCCATTAGGCTGGATTTCACAGCAAACCAAAGCTAGAGGCACTGAAGAACATGAGCCATTTCTCTTTCTCCTTCACCCCACAAGAGACTCCTAGCAAGTTTTAGTCAGTTGGTACAACAGTGCGTTACAAGGGAATTTGTACCTTTTCTGCAGCTTCTTTGTGTGCTACTACTATTATATCAAAATATCCTAACTCACATCTTCAGTTATCTCATAGCTGATCATTCATGCTCCCAGGCATCAGTTTTGCCTTCCCAGACCAAACTATGCTCAGAAGAACGAGATACAAGTCAAAACAAACTCTCCGATTCCCTGCCAACCTAAAACTGGGACTAACCAAAAGCAAGTGCTTCATCCAGGCTTCAAATTTTGCACAGACTTCTCATGCACAAGAACTAAATGAACTAAGTGGAACTGACATAAGATCAGTCTATGTAATTTCAAAAAAGAATAAAAGTCAGTAGGGTAAGAGCGCAACATATGCTGAATTGTAAACTCTCATTATGATCACATGAACACAGAGGCGGGGGAAAAAAAAACATGAACAAAAAAACCCCCACACGATATCCTTCCGCTCAAGATGGTGATGCATTTGGGAAACGTTGTAGGGAGAACCCTGCGTTCAATTAAAACAAGTAGAACACATCAATCAAAGGAGAAGAGAGGACACCAAGCGTGCAATACTTCACTGAAGCATACAGAACCACAGAGTCAAAACCCTGTGTACCATCACTGCTTAGCAGACTGACAGCTCAATTATTCCTTCAAAAATCTGTTAGCAGTACTGAGCATCCTAGCAGAGAGTACTGTTCTATCAGCATCTTAGGTCATCAAATATTCTCACAGTTCTTATATACTCATCTACTATTCCAGTTCTTCCAATTTTTTCAGAGCATACAGGAAATTTTCAGCAATTAAGATAAACCCTAACAAGGGAACAACAGTAAGACCGGAACCTAATTAGGCAGTGGCAGTCCCATACCCACACTTTGCTACAGAGAAATAAAGTTGGTGAAACAAAATACCATGCAACAAGATACTGTCAAAATCTGATTAATACTATTTCTTTGCATTACACAGTAAATCAGCACTTCATAACTACTTACAAGCTGATGACACAAATAAGGATTACAACTTGGCGCTTCTTGTGTGTTTGCCAATGCTTAAAATCCACAGTAAAAACAGCTGCTTCCATGTTGTATCTAAATTTAAAGTATTACAGAATAATCTAACAAACAAATCACTGTTTCAAAGTCACCTCTGGCCACAGATTGGCTCTTGGTGTACACATCAGAACTGAGGCCCCTATGCCAGGCTCTGAAGAACAGCCCATCCTTATACAAACAGCCATTTGAGGCTGGGCTCTTGTATGAGCCAAGTCTACTAGGGGTTTCTCCAAATGCCAGTGCTTTCTACCCACTGTCTCCTTACTTGCAGGAGCAGCAAGGAGCACTGAACTGACTGCATGGCTGACTTCATCCCCTTTCCAAGATTCCCCAAAACCCAAGATTCCAAAGCATTGTTTCCTTTCAATATTGGGCGCCTCGGCATGAACGAGTTCTCCTCCCTTATGCATCATCAAAAAACTGCTTTCGAGCGCCTTCCTCCAGGACACTGAAGATTTAAACAACTTATGCCTACATCACTACAATTCTCGCCAAAGCACTTAACGTGCATCTGAAAACAATTATAATTGCCTAACAACTAATATACAACATGATTGTATTTTCTCAAGACAGGCCAAAAGAAAAAAGGAAAATTTGTTTGCTTGCACGCATTAACAAGGATGCAGTACTTCCAGTAAAATTTGGGTGCGTTCCCTCTAATGCAAAATGGATCTTGTTATCCTTAGTTATATAACCTTAGAAACTATAAGCATCTGGATCAGCTCCCAACGGTTTTTTCTAAAAGCGTAACAAAAAACCCCCACTAACTTTGGCACCGTGACAGAAAATTCACGCTAATCTAAGGCACAGCAAATCTTCCTGCATCTGCAGTATCAGTAAGCTCATCCCATATGAAGCAATCTAGTGTTAAAACCCACCCTGTTAGTGAAGATAGGTCAGCAGGATTGCATGTTTTGTAATTTCCTACTGGAGTTTGTTCTTCATCACTGAAATTTAGGCTGAATTTTACTGTGCAGAGCCTAGAATTTTAGCGTATCAAGAGCTTCCGATAAGCTTCCATATGCTCATACAACATTAAAGACAACCTTAGTGTTGAAAAACAAGTTTTATATAAAACAGGTCTACTGCCAATGAATTATTTCTTTCAAAAGACATTAGAAATTGAGTTAAAGTTGAGATACCATCTCAAAGGTGTGGGGGGTGAATCTATTCTAAGATCACTTTAGACTGTGCCTCTAAAAATACCTTACATTCTCAAGTATATAGAAAACTATATACAAAAAAAAAAATGAGAACTAGTCACAGGAAAAGTATCCATCTACATGTTTATAGCTTGCTCCCTTGGAGGTTTGCCAATATGAACAGCATAGAAATTATAAACAGACTGGATCCCTGACTTAAACCTGGAATGAAAAACTCCTTATATTAAAGGGTAAATCATGCTCTCTCTACTGTTACTGACTTTGAAATAAACCATCATATTCTGGGCTTGCACTTCCTGCACTAAAGAGCTACATTTAAAAAAAAAAACAAAACAAACTAGGGTATACAAACAAAAAGTACGGTTCTTGTCTGTTAGTGTCAGAGCAACACCAATTTACAGCTGTTAACTAATTTCCAGCCTATAAAAGAACAGCAGTTATTGGTTGCTATATATTGACAACATACCTGTGGGATTATTTCCTAGATCCTTAATGTCAGAAAGCCAAAGTATTAACCTGTTGAAGATGGCTGTGGTGTCCTTTCAGCTCGGCTTTGTCCTCACAAAGCACCTATAAACTTAAGAGGTAAGGAGCTTTAGGTAAAACATCTTCTGGGAAAAACCTGCCTTGAACACTCACTATTGAGGAGCCTGCATGACTACTGGCTACAAATACTAAATACTATAAAGCCAAGCAGCTCAGTGTCTTTCTTCCAAGATAAGGACATTCTTTGCTGTGTAAAGCAAAGTTATTTCTGTCTGCCCTCAAAGGCATGTTTTGCATTACCACAGTGTAGCATGCTATTGTTCCCCTGGTTGAGCTATGGTAACTTTCTAGGCAATGTTTTTAGGTTTCACAGCGCCTGCCTTAGACTGTGTTTGCATAAGCCTTTTTAATAGACAATTCAAACCGCTGCACAGTACCACACATTCACAATTGCCTGTGTTCTGGTTTATCACCATAAATCAAACAATAGGCAGTAACTCAACTGCAGATCTGTGTTTCTACACAGAAATAAGTAAAAACATTTTTTCAGAAAAAAACACATCAGATTAAAACAAAAAGGTGGGTACGGGTGAAAGAAGGTTTACCTATAGTGAAACATTAGAGTGAATTGGAAGTTATTCAAAATAACATCAATGGCTCTAGGGATGCAGATTTATTTCAGGAAGAGAATGGGAAGTGATTCAGGAACTTTCCAGGCACAGACAACACAGTTGTTACGATTCAGAGCTCAGATGAGTTACTGCACAGCAGCTGAATTGCTATAGCGGTCTGCGTGCGCACTCTTACTCTCAATCCATCAGAAACGGGCGTAGAACAAGTGAGTTTTGAACTCCTTCCTGTCAAGTTTAAGTCAACATTTGCTTCACCTGAAAGCTACAGCAGACTGCTAACACACACCCAGTTAAAACAACTCACAAACAGTAATTTTTCTAAGCTCTGTGATAATATCTGTCATATTTAAACTCAAAGGCAAGGAAATAAGGAATCAGCTCTCACCCCACCTTTTTTTTTTTTTTTTTTTTTTTAAAAGGAGTGGACCTTTATTTATTTATTATTACAGGACTTTTTCCTCAGGGGGGAAAAAGGAAAACCGTACTTTAATGAACAAAAGGCTGGTTTGGCTTTTTCCGGGGAACTTGAACTTCCTCCTGGCTTAGGCCACCCGACAGGAGACGGAGGAAGTGCTGGGGCAGCTACAGCAAGCGACAGCCACGCAAGGACAGAGGTCAGACTTTCACTCGCTAACTCCAGAGCTAAAATCCAGTAATTAGCAGTTGAGTTATGGGTGTTGCTCCAGAAAGGCAGCTGGTCGTGATTTGCAGACACCAAGCAACACAGAACGTGTCTTTTGGAAGCTGGTCGAGTATTTAATCGCTCTTGTTCAGAACTGGAACTCCGTTTCCAGGCAGTTCCCAACTACAGCTTTGCTCTCGCTGTCAAAACAACCCTCTGGCCTGATATCCAATTCCCTCAGGAACGTGCAGGTCAGCCTGTCTCCTTGTGGAGAGCTGGCAGCTACCTCACGCGTTTTTCCTGAGGGAAAGGCCAGCCTTGCTGCTTATGTCTCCCTGCTCCTTCAAACAAGCTTCGGCAGAGC